CTCTTTTCCGATGCCATTTTTAATTTTACACCGCCGTTTATGTGCATAAACAGTCTCGGCGCTGTCCCGAGATTAATAAATGGCGTTTGTGAATTATTGCGTAGTTTCAATTAATGTATGGGACTGGTAGAATCCCCGCAATTAAGGTGTAGACAGCGTTACATGGCGGAGATGTAATAGATTTCAATAACTGTTCTCGCGACGACCCGGAATTGCAACACAGCTTAAAGGCTAACAGCAATTAGAGTTAAGTGTCGAGTTCAAAGTGGATGGGGTATTGTCCACTGAAAACTCGAATGCAAGGCTCGGACTGGATGCAACTGGGACTGGATTGATCCGTGTCTGGATTACGGTCGAATTAGGGCTGAGTTATAATTGTCTGCGGTTCGTTTCGATAGTATCTGCTTTAACAATAGCGTCGACACTGCAGAAACAAGTTACATGACACATATACATGTACATAGGAATTATTTGTGTTGGACAGTTGGAATCAAAGCAATTTCAGTATTAATTTTATTCCAACAAAATGTCACATCCCACAAGTTTACTTAAATGGCTCCAAAATGTTAGGCTTCCTTCAGATCCACGCACAACGATCCAGAACACGTTGCCGATGTATTCGAACTCTATCGAACCCATTAATCTTATTAAGATAGCACTTCGAGACAGCTCTCAGCACATGTTCAAGTAATACTCGACAAGTAGTCACGAGATGCTTGAGATCTTGTTCGTCAACGCTATGATAGAGATCTGTACGCAGAGCCAAGGTCACTGGGTAAATGGAAAGGGTTGATTAGCCACCTTATGAACCGTGAAATATATGTATTCTATAATTAGCGTTGTGACAGGTACGGTATCCAAGGAAATAATTCTGATAATCGGAGTCCTTTCCTCCGGATACCTGTCCCAGCCGCTAATTACATCTACATACATATCAAGGTCATGTTGGTCGTACGTTCATATGAATTCTTATCCTTCTCCAGCGTTGAATTCATTAATAAGTAGGTTCCAACAGTGACGAAACATCGCGTGTGTGTAAACTTCACCTGAGGTCGCATCTAGTGTGGATGCTAGGAAGATCTGGCGTTTACGTAAGGGTTGCAGAGAGTTTTAGGATTTCTTTTTTTAATCAAACACGGATGAGGTGTCCTGGTGAATATTTATGCATCATTTTTCACCTTCAATTCTCTAAAAAATCCATTTGAGTTATAATTAGACTGCGTACTGTCAGATGAAAAATATACAAAAAATATGCATGCTGTATGTTGTATATATTACACAATTCCTATGATAATATTGTTATTTCGTTTTGCACAAGTGCACATACATTTTGGTTTTGTTTAGCATGCATTTATTGTACCAGTTTGTAATATAAATAAATAAAATTCACAGTCTAGTTATAATTTATTAAAAAAACAAAATCTTAAAGCTTCCTTTGGGGAATCCCTTACATTTTACATTTACCTTTACATTTTTAGTATAGTATGTGTGACTGATAACGCGTAGAAATAGCTTTTATCACCATTTTTCAACAAAAGAGTATAATTTGGAACAGAACTCTTTGGAACTGAACCCTCTATGGGCTCTTGTCATTTTTAATAATTTTATTATAATTTTAGTTTCACCACAAAATAACGTATATGTCTCAATTACATAATGTTTCTGATACCCAATAATAATATTAACGACGAAATATCAAAGTAAATGTCTTGGAAGTTGTCTGCAGAAATGAAAATTAATCCCACAGAGGGTTAATTCCGCTAAGAAGCCTCTTGTTAGCTTTCTATACCCTAATTCGCAGCCCACTGGTTCATGGCAGGGCTTTATGAACGGTCAGCACGCATCGGCCGATCTTCACGGTGTAACTTTGTTCTTTTTGCGATCCCCGTCGGTTGGTAGCTGGCTGTCGTAAATTAGAGCTCAAGGGCCGCCACGCGCGAGTCCGTGCCGCAAATCGTTGCTCAGTGGGAAAGTATTTCGCCGGTGGTGCAAGCGTGAAATAATTTTGCCGCTATTTTTATCGGGACATCTATTTCCTCGCGGTTACACTGTCTACACTGGATACCTCGGGACCCAGAGCAAGCTCGATGAAAAGAATCCAACTCTTTTGATCCCAAGGACTTCTGCCGCAACTATTCTGAGCCACCAGGGCGGAGATTTGCAAATTAGGAAGAGTGATCTATTTGATCCTCTTTGGTAGACAAATATTTGAGTAAATAGAAGAAAGATATTAATATTTTGAGGAGGAATTTACTTTATATGTATAAGTCTATTTCTCTCCAAATTATTTCATGTTGCAGTCGCAATAGACTGACTCATTTTAAAAACAAATTTACATTTTAATGTATAAGACTAACCCCCCTCAAATTATTTCATATTACAATGGCCATTTTATGGCTATTTGACTGCCTCACTTTAAGAATAAATTTACATTGCAACACACAAACCTAACCCATTCCCCCTTCTAAAATATTTCATACTACGAAGCATTAAAATAGCGAATACACCGTGTTCATAATCCACCTCGCATCACGTTGCTAACATTTTCTATTTCCATTCCATTTCTGTCCTGATATTTCTAATATTTCTAAGTTATATACAAAATACAAAAATGCAAGAGTATTCTTGCAAGTTGAATTTTGAAAAAGTCTGACGTCTGGGGAACAGGTTCCCATCGCAAATAATTAAAATCGTTCTTTGTATGCAAACGCATCCTTCCAGCTCAAGAGTCGCGGAGCCATTTTCAACTCAATTACGCGAGGCGTAAGTCAATTATTTACGACTTAACGCGGCTGCTCGATCCAATCAGCAAAGCGTCGTCGATTAATCGCGAAGCCTTCTGCCTCGTCTCTTCCTGAAGATACGATCGGAAATTTCTTTGCCGCGGTGGTCTCCTCCGTGTCGCCCGATAAGAACACGACGCACGGCGTCGTAAATGTTTTAACGCGGCGCGAATCGGTTTCACGGTAATTCGCACGGCTAAATTGCTCGACACGGAGAAATCATCTTCAGCCGATGACCTCATCACGGAAAGCGTTCTACCTGCGAAAACACTTTTCTACTTTGAGTTGCGCCTTTGTTTTCTCGTTACGTACTTCATTTTACTGGGATTAGACTCGCTACCTAAGTTCACGGATGTTTTCCATGAAGTTACGCTTCTGTGAGGTATGGAGACGTTGTTAATGAAATTGTTGTTTGTGTTGAGGTTGTTGGAGTGTTTTGTGCGGGTGGTGCTTTAAAATTGTGGGTGTGAAGTTAGCTATGGCGAGAAATAAGAGGTTTGCTTTGGTTTGGAGCACTAGACGTTGAGTGATATTTGAGATTTGGAGGGAGAAACTATTGGATATATTATATTGTAAACATTTCACACATGTTTGTGTTCTCTAGAGTGACTTATATGGGGGATGTTTCAGAATTTTGGGTGTGAAGTTAGCTGTGGCGAGAAGTAAGAGGTTTACTTTGGTTTCGAGCCCCAGACTTTAACACTTGATATTTTTTGGAGGGAAAAGTATCAGATACATTCACTCGAAACTTTCTATACCTGTTTATATATGCTTTACCACGCATTAGGAATTGTTCCGAGTATATGTGACTGATTTTGTTGATTTGACAGGTGGTTATACATGTTTTGCATAGAAACCTCATGTCCACCTTTGTCGTGACAAATCTCGTTTCGGTCATCCTAAACACTCAACTATATTTTTATCACCTTTTTTTTTTTAACATCAAGACACACTGGTTCTATCGATATTCCTCTTGTTCTCCAGTTTTGTTTAACGAAACAATTTCGAATCCTTCCAAACCCGCACAGATCGGTATCACGGTCTGTAACCTCCCAACTTAATTCCCCAATTCTTGTCATTGCTCTTTTTCGCCGTAAATTTCACACCGTTATCTCGACGAAGCGAAACCTGTTTCCTGTTCACGAGAACCGGTGTCCTTTTTTAATTGATTCCTCATTTAAGTTACTTAGTTTCCCTACGGGCTGCATTCGGAGAAACTTTGCGACATTTGTACCTAGCGTTCGTCTTCCTTTTCCAAATTAATTCTCATTATATACTTTTACCAGTTCCATTTTTGTAAATATCCCACTTTCGTTGAGGACTCCATTTAATGGAACAAAAGGTGACTATGATTTTAAGACAAAAGGAGCATGCACACCTCAATTATTTTAATACGTTTGCTACATTCACTTATGCTAAGTGGCGTTCAACGGTACGATTGTAAAATTATCGTTTTAAAATGGTTGGAAGTGAGACATAGGTACCAATTACTTGTGGCTGGTGGGTTAGCCATTTTCCTAGTTTGGATGCTTCCCTAAATGACAGTGTGTCCTGTTCGACAAGATAAATTGAGCCTGAGTGCGACTTCAAGCATTATCAATTCCGGTTTTGCTTCATCAAGGTCGGCTGACATAGCCAGTTCTCGACGAGAAACCCAGGATGTCCCTAATCTTCGACACTGGTGCTGGCCTTGGATCTTTGGAATCCTAGTCCGTTCCCACGAGGATGACACACTCCTTATATATTTCGCTCAGCGTTTTATTAACGTTGTAGACGTTTCAGTTATTTTTTCAGAAGTCAAGAAAAACCCTTGTCCATTACAAATATGATTGATCGTAAACAATAAAACAGACAAGAGTCTACTATTAGATGGAGTAGAAAGTAATGTCGTTTTTGCCATCTTAAATACTTGTTTATCATTTATCAGCTCATTGATTTTTCTGGCATTGAAAATTTGCACACTAGGTGATAAAAGGCTGCTGACAATGAGGGCGATTATATAATGAATTAAAGATAGAAATTTATTGGAAAGTTTGAATTCAATGTAAAAGAAACGACATTACTTTTTGGTCTACCTAATATATTCATTACTCAACTCCAATGCTAACTTCACTAGTATTTATAAACAGCAAAATAGACAACTCACAATTTCTAGTACTCAACTCCGATACTAGATTCTCTATTACTTACTAACGTTACAATTTTCTCTGCTTTCAGAACCTACTCGAAAGGAAGCTTCCACCAGCATCTACCCCAGCTATCCACTCCTATCAAACCAAGGACTCGCCCAGTAGATTTCACAATAACCCTGCAGAGGTAGCTCGCCAGTGGTTAACTACAGACCAATTTTACGAAGAAAGCATTACAGAAATCACACGTTCGATGGTTGGGCAATAGTCCTCGATCATACCAGATAACAGCTCCCTGCCTAACAGCGAATCGAGGAGCTCTTAATGGGCATTCCAGTTGGACTCTCTTGGCTGGCACTCCGAGAGGGAAGCAGAATCCGCGAGGAGGAGTCTTGAGAATCCCTGGAGGACTCTATGGGCGCTCGAGGGTTGCGCGGAGTGGCGAATGACTTGTTGCCGCGAGATAATCCAGCTCCATCTCGTTCCGAGAGGCCACGAATATGATCGACTGACTGTCTCGATGGCTGGCGTGTAACTGTTCCGAACCAGGATACCTCTTCCTACGGTCGGGTCGTCCTTAACGAGCCGAGGACACTGATTAATAAACGAGTGGTTGTGCCCAGCTGCCAGGGGGGACGCAGACATGTCGCGAATCTCGAATCGCGTCTCCATCGTCGCTGCGATAGTCAGCATAGTGCTTCTAGTGATATTTCTAGTGATAATATGGACTGGTGTGCGATCGAGCAACGCCTCGAGCTTGTACGGGGATGAAGGGAGATTGGACTCTGGCTTGGGGCCCCTGGATGTCATCCTGAGGGAGGGCTGGAACCAGTCTGGACGAACCGTGGCGATGTTCGACGAGGCGAACTTTACTGAGAAAGGTAAGACAGTTTGCGAAGTAGTTCTTGGGGGGTTCGATTGCTTTGAGGGAGAGTATAAGACGTACTTTAGGGATGGAGATTCTATATTGGGTTATTTCATTTTTCTTGAGTTACTTGAGAGAGATTATTTTTGTCAAGATTTCAGACTTGATTCGGTGGTAATATCTTTAATATTTTGCCCCTGTATAAGTGGTTTTATGAATGTAACAAAAATGTAGTTGGAAAGAGCATGTATGAGAAGCATGTACGTATAATATTTGCAGAGATAAAAGACTACCTTTCATGACGGTAGTCTTTCTGTAAACTGTCGAGTTTGAATGGCTGTATTTTTCAAATAATTCAGAAATTGGCAACATGATGATTTAAACCCCTCCTATTTTCACATGGACTGTAATATACCTCAATGTGAACAGAATCCGTATGTGGAATGACCCCTACCCGACTAGAAGTCCTATGCTTGGTACCAAAATGGCTCCTACAAACTATACCTAACTCTGGTACTTAAATACCTAAATCTTACCTAAATTACTCTCAAGGTCCCAATACATCTAACGATACTTTTCCTAAGAATCGTAACAGTCTCGGTACCTAAATAATTCCTAATACCAAAACGAATCTCTTGATAGCGAAATAGCAGTCTACGACGCAGTCTCGCTTTCCAGCATCGAAGGTGAATCCAAGCGGGTCGAATCGACGGCAACAGTAGCGTGAGAAGTAATTCGAGTATCGTCGAGCAGAAACAGAAGAGTTGCGAAAGATCCGTTAACGCGTTTAGTCTCAGGAGAGGTGTGCAGCAGCTCTCAGGGAAAGCTAGAACGTCCAGACGTCCTTGTAAGGCCGCTGCTCCAAAGCATCCACACCTACACCTACACCTACAACCATTGCCACGAGCATGAACCTTTATTCACAGTCTACCCGTACTCATATTCCTACCCAACCTGTACCTACGTCCTAAGTACAAGCGGATACGCTGCCTTGGCCGGCTCGCCGTGCACCTGATGCTGCTTCGACGAATCCCAGTCAGCATTCCTTAGGGAGATGAAAAATCGCGGTCGAGATCACGTTCCTTCCACGCTTTGCCTAAATCGTTGCACTAGGAACAGTTGCTTTTCTATGGGGTGCTTCGTGTCATTTAGGTTGGATTATACTTGGGAGGAGTCATTTTGACGCAGGGAAGTTATTGTAGGAAAATTCGTAAAACAAGGCGTGGGCGTGAGAAATTATCTTCAAAACTGAACTGAACTTGAGTTTAACAAGGAAATCTTCTTCTGTTGGGTCAAATGTAAAGTCTCAGGTAGTATTCAAAATGTTTTTCGTGTTATTTCTTGGAAAAAAAATTGACGAAAATGCTCCAGACGTACTGATTCGCCAGGTTTTCCACTGAGAATCGCTCTGGAAATCCTGATGTCAGGAACAGATCGATTCTAACGCTTGATTTAGCTATTGGAACGGTTTCTGCTGGTATTCAGAATAGTGGATAACAGGGTCCTCGTGCTATTTCTTGGAACAATTGACAAAAATGCTCCAGACGTATTGGTCCGCCAGCTTTTTCTCTAAGAGTCGCTCTAAAAATCCTAATATTGACGAAAAATCCATTCCAACGCTTGATTCAGCTATCTTAAGGGTTTCTGCTGGTACTAAAAATGTTCGATAGTGTGTGGTCATCAGAATGTTTCATCAGAATCTTAGATCCCGAATCGAGGATAAATTTCACAGCCTGGAGACCTCGATAAATACTTTCCTCGCGCCACATACACTAAATACGATCCTGGAACGGCTCTATCCGCGCTTCCAGACGCATAATTATTCCCGTAGGTTCGCGTATAACCAGCGAGTTCGCTTACGCCTTCATTCCAGGATCGCGATCGTGGCGCATACTCCTCGCGCAGCATCGCCACTAATTTCGAGCAGTTTATTAGTTTCTCTGAAGTCGGTTATCTCGCCGAGATCTTTCCTCGAGAGCGTAGCGCCCTGTCTCGATCGGGGGGCCCGGTGATCATTAACGAGCGCTAATTGCACCAGCCACGGATTATTCTGCGGGCTTTCCCCTCCGCTCTTCATTTCTCCGCCGCCACGCTTCCGAACGCGTCGCGCCAGCGTTGACTCTCGATCACGAACGATAACTCGAAATCGTAATTTTCTGAGTCCCTCGTGTTCGAGCTTAATTGAATCGAAAATTAATGCTCGAACGAGGAACAATCTACCGCGAAGGGGGAATTCCACTCCGTGCTTCGTTTGTGATTGTTTTATCGCTGTAAATAATGGAGACATTCTCGATGACGTTGTTGGGTTTATTAATCGATGTTTATTCTACAGTTCTGTAAACCGTGACGAAGTTGGAGATTCTATGAATCAATGAAATTTTAATTAAGGAATTGAGTAGAATTTTGGAATTTGAGCGAAGAAGTTTGAGATTTTATGAATCAATGAAATTCAGATTGAGAAATTGAATGGTAATTGAAATGGAAATTTGAGAGTGCATTCCACACTGGAAGAGTTCTTATCTGTTTGATGGGTGGCATTGAACCTTTAAAAAAATAGTCGATTGTCAGGTAAATTCGACGCAGCAGTGAGATCTTCCACGGTGCCTCGATGTCACGGAAACAGACGAACTTACAATCGTACTGATAAGTCGGCCAGATAAGAGCATGGATGTTTGAATATTTACGATGTACGTCCGTCCTACCTTTCTCGCTTGATGACAGTTACATCATTACGGGCCGATAATCAGCGAGTTACGTCCCGAAGATAGGTCCTTCGTGTATCCTGTGAACGGATAAAAGCTGAAAAAATAAAAATAAAAGACGCACGATGAGTCGGATCGGTGCAGCTATATAAAAAGTTTTCCAAAAGGGACCACGGAATTTTGTTTTTTATTAAACACACTGATTTGTGTATTTTAAATCAATGTACACATTATTGCAATTTAAGATGGAAGATACAGAAAGGTGTATATTTGTTATTAAAGATACAATCTTAAAGCTTCTTTTGGAAATCTCCTCATTTCTACGTTTCGAATCTTTTGCAAAGAACAGAGGTTAATATTCTACACTCAATGAAACGAAATTAGCGATTAGAGATTTTTGATACGATGTGTTAATAAAAGTAGACGTCCAACACGGAACCGAAAACAATTTCAAAGTCGTAAAATTCTCACCCCATGCCCGTGTTCTTGATCTTTTATGTTTCTTTTTTAATTCGTCAGATAAGAGTTTAATGACTGCAGATAGCGAGGCTCTCGTGTGTACCATATTCTCCCGTCGCGATCTCGAGCCATGCGTTGACTCCTCGACTCCTTACATTTGCATCAGGAGTGGGCAAAATTTGTATCTAGATAAACTATTAAAATTATTGAATAAAATAAATTAGTCCAAGTTAGAGGGGTATACTGCAATCAAATATTATTAAATCGGGCATTCCCAGCTATTTTTATCTATTAACCTATCATTAATAACACAAAATTTTCTTTTACAATAGACATGTAACATTCCCACGATACTGCTCACAATTTTTGTATCATATCATAGACTCCTACTCGGAAACTAACATAAGTTTAGAGTTCCCCAAAGTAGTTATGGTTGGACTCACGCCCAGTTAAACAGGAGAAATATTTTGTGAATTAGGCTAGTGACAAGGTTAAATACTGTAGCCAGGTATCGAATGACAAAAGTTGTAACAGTAGCGTCGGTGTTTTAGTCTAGCATTGGAAATATAGATATTCATATCGCTCGTAGACAAGCGAACAGGTATAGTGCGCCAGCTCAATATGTTTGCTGACAAACTTATCTAATTGTGTCTAGCGAGGAAGATTATATTTGGTAACCTACCACTTTAGTGGCCCATAACTCAATAAGGTGAGCTTGTTTGCAGATCTATCTTCGTGGAACACGATTAAAAAAGTAGATCGTGTCGCTAGAAATTTTAGGCGCACTCTGAAATGAAACGTTAGAATCGAATAGGTACATAAATGGCAAGATGAAATTTGATCTTGGTCATCGATGAATGCACATTTTATTTACCTTGATCTACATTCCACGTACACAACTCTTGGTAAAATATGCAAGGTTTTTTAGATTGAAGTATTATGAAGATAAACTCAGGGCCAAGAATATACTTGAATTTATTCTTCCCTGACCAGTCTTCAGTAATGAAGAGAATAATGTTTGTAGGAGCGTTGGGAGGATTTATATAACGCTAACTCGATTGTGCCATCGAAACTCTTGCCAAGAATCTGTTATTTCGAACTCAGTGCAAATCAATTAATGTATTGGAGCCACATGTGCGCACCCATCGTTCGTGAGAAGTGTTTTGGATCAGTACACGAGCTTTGTCGTTCCAAAATCACTTTGGCGGTGATAAAAACACTTACTTTATCTTTTTGATACATTTAGGTCGAGGAAGCATAGAAATAGCAAATGCTGATTTCTGAACATTCGATTCCATTTATTTGTGATAATTAAATCTTCCTTTCACTATTCAATCGATGACCTACTAGATTCTAGATGGAAGTGGACTATGTTTCCTATTGCAACCTCCATCCAGCAGGGTTTGAAACAATTACATTATTATTTGGATTCATTACAGCAAAAAAGCACACATATATATATGAGGGGAGAGGATGGTGTATATATATATACATAGCAATAATGATTTTTGACAGTATATTCCATTTATTTGTGATAATTAAATCTTCCTTTCATTGTTCAATCGATGACCAGTAGATTCAAGATGGCTGAAGACTAGGTTCCCCATTTTAACCCACATCTAGAATTGCTTGAAACCCTTACCTTACCATTTAAAACAAGAAAGCACATATATATACAGATAGCAATTACAATCTATAAATGTTGTATTCCATCCATCTTAGTAAAATTAAATCTTCTCCTAAAGTTTCATCTACGAGCATCTACCACCATTCCAAGATGGCCGTCTCCATTCTAGCCTCACTCCAGCAGCTAAGGGCTGCTTCGACGTACCATCTTCGTAATATTTCGTTCAAA